AGTCTCAGATACAGATCTGTTCACAGGCTGTTGAAAATTCTTTGCAGTTCTATGTGTCTCCAAAATTTGTGTTATCTTAAAATTGCTAATCAGAAGAACAAAGTTATCTTAGTTTCTTTTCTGACTTCAGATTTTGGTCATTTCAAAAGTGCCTTAAGTCACTTTAGTTATGCTCTGTGACTTTTGATGTAGAAAGGAGTGTGTATATCTTTATAAAGTTGATTAATGCAGATTTCCTTGTTCCCATACAGGATGACTCTAAGCCACCCTACTCCTATGCACAGTTAATAGTCCAGGCAATTACAATGGCCCCGGATAAGCAGCTCACACTAAATGGAATTTATACGCACATAACTAAAAATTATCCTTACTACAGGACAGCAGACAAGGGCTGGCAGGTAAGCTTGATTTCTGGAATATTTGTTTTTAGTTGGAAGCAATGCTGGCAGCTGTAAATGGTCTTGAGCAGTTGGTGCCTCAGAGCCCTTCAGAAACAGAGTTTGTCAAATGACTGTGTTGTCTTTCTCCTGATTGTAAGTCCTCCAACAAAGTGAGCAATTTACATTAGTCTCTATTTGAAACATTGCTGTGTTCATGGAATGGTGTTCTCTAAACCTCTAGTACAGACAGACTTTGGGGGAAGGAAAGTACATTTGGCACTGGGTTTGAATACCATCTGCTATCTAGGAATGGTGGTGTGTTCTGTAGCTTACAGTTGTGTAAACATCCGTATTGCTATCTTGAGATAAAATAAGGATATTAAATGTTACAGGTTCAGTTTTATTTGGGAACAGTGATCTTGACCATGCAATAAGTGAAGGAACAAGTGTGTTATCTGTTGTTATCTCGCCCTGGTTCGTGCCCTGTTTTATTTGTGAACTTGCCCATTTCTGTACCGAGTTACACCAAACCCTTCAACTCTGCAGAATTAATTTCTGCTTGCTTTTCATTTTGAAAAGACCAGCCCCAGCGTTTGCCAGGATGACTAACCGAGTACAAATCAGTCTGGCAGAGTCTGCCCACACGCACATGAAGGTTCAGTGCCTTTGGTGCTGCTTTGGGTGTCTCAGGACACAGTTTTGCCCCTTGTAAGGCCCTGGGCACACTGTCCATTGTGGGGGATCAGTGTCACTGGTTGCTGCTCACTCTGCAGCAGGGGCGTGTCTGGAGTTATTTTCAGGGAGGTGAAAAGTGGAGAAAGTGAGGGGGAGGAAAAGTTAGGAAGTGTTAACACTGGCTGTATAAGTGGAAGACTGAAGAATGCAGCAGAGGAAGAGAATTTGAAATATTAATCACGTAGTTATTTGTCATGAGACCTACATGAAAGTTGGATCACTTTCCCAAGTTAGCAGGAATGGAGCTGTTCCTGGCTGTTTGCTAAGGGTTTGGCTAGGCCAGGACTTGGCTGCTGTTGTGGCTGGGAAGTCTCTTTTGTTTCCCTTTCCCACATAACAGTGCAGTATCCTGGCTGCAGACATGCTGACAGATCTGTTTTAGCAACGAGACTCTGTTTATAAACTGTTGGTGTGTGTTTTCCTTCCTATTCTGCAGCACCTTGAGTGTCTGTTTGTGTGATGCTGCTTTACCTGAGCACAGTGAACCCAACACACACACACTGTTGTGCTCAGGTGAAGAATTCTGCTGCAGAACAGGGGGTGTGTTTGGGGGTGTAAAGCTCCAGAAAGCCAAGGTGACAGACACAGCAGACATGGTGTGTTCTGGAGTAATTAATTAGCACCTATTCAGAGAAACAATTGGAAAAGCTGAAAATCAGATGCTGTTCAGTCACTGCTCTGCCAGCTTCTATCCATCAGGAGTTGGATTACAGCTAGAGTGATGTAGGATAGATGTTTGAAATCATATTTGAGGCTATATATGCCCATATTATTCAAAACATAGAGTACACACACATGTATAATGTCCCAATCCTGTACCTTAATAAATAGCATTGAGATATTTATATCCTTTATTATTCAAAGGTCTCATTTTGTTGAGCACTTGAAGACTCTCTGTGAACTTATTTTAGCAGGTATTTTTGGATCTACTCTCTTATTCTAACATATGGAGAAATAAATACAATTTATAAACATGTCCTTGGCATCTTTCTAGTTATGTTTCAATTTTTGGCAGAGAAAACCATCTCTGGTTTCATCAGTTTGCATTTAAGAAACCATACATGGTTATCATTGCTTTAGGTTCTCCAAACTTGCCATCAGGGTCATGAACTCAGATATTTGAGCAAGATTTACATTTGATTTTGCAAATTTTTGAGGGCTTTCGCTAACATAAAGCTTTTTGTCCACTTACCCGCGTTCCCCCACGAGTATTTCAGCAGGAACACTTAGCAGCAGTTTCTTCTTGTTCAGTGATAATACCGAGAGAGATTTTGGGGTTTACAGATCTTAAAAATAAAAAAAAAATAAAATTTAAAAAGTCCTGTGTGCAAAGCCAAGCCCAGACAGAGCCACTTGAGGGTGTCAGCAGTTCTGTACATCACTTTGATGCAAGAGTGGGGGGTGTTGCAGCAAAGGGAGGACACAGGAACGTGCAAAGAGATCGAGGTAACAAAGATCTCACGGAAAACCCAGTTCAGGACCTGCTGCCACTTGGTGTTTTTCTAGACACACTAAATCCTTGGCTCCTTTATTGAGACAGACTGGACTGTGGGTGAACTCCCAACAATCCAGCTGCCTTTGGAACTTGTGTAATTTAACCTTTTCTTTCTGAACTGTGGAACAGTAGCAGGGTTATGGTCTAGGATCAAAAATCAGTATCTGCTGTGCTCTGCTGGCCCTCCTAGAAGGAGCTGACACTCTGTGGGACACCTGGGGAAGGGTTGTGTATGAACACTGGTAATTTTTCTTTATTATTCTCTTTATCACTGCATTCTGCACAAGTATTTGTGGTGTCCTAACAGTTGGTCGCGATCACCGTGTTTCTCATGAGAGATTTAAAATGGGATTCCTGTTATTTCCAATTAGCATACTGGGTTTTTAATTGTTGGGAAAGGTTTGACAAATGCAAGAGTCCTTTCAGGTTTATGGCACTGCCTTGGCAGTGCTCTGAGTTCTGTTGAATTAAGGAATTAAAGAGCTGAACCCCGAGTCTCCTGTAGTACAAACTGCTGCACTAGGCCACATTCTGACTTGGAAAAGTTATATGAATTCTACATATTTTTTTATGTTCCATAGAATTCAATACGTCACAATCTCTCTCTGAATCGTTATTTCATCAAAGTACCACGTTCCCAGGAAGAACCAGGCAAAGGCTCATTCTGGAGGATAGACCCTGCCTCTGAAAGCAAATTAATAGAGCAGGCTTTTAGGAAAAGGCGGCCTAGGGGAGTACCTTGCTTTAGAACCCCTCTGGGACCACTCTCTTCTAGGTAAGGAAAAACAGATGAACAAAAAGACTATGGCTGTTGTTTAATCTTCAGGCTGATACAGACTTGGATACAGTCACGAGTTTAGTAATTTAATTTCATCCAGACTCAGTGTTTGAAATCTGTGTGGCTCGTTAGGAGGCTGCCCCATACACCAGGCTTGTGTTTACTGCTTGTTTTCAGTGTTAAAAGAACTCTGTTTGCATAACTAACTATCAGATTGTTAATGTAAGCAAGCCTTGCTGTACCTTTCGTGGGTTTTACAGAATTATAACTTTAATTTCTAACTGCCATCTACTGGATTTTAAAACTGTTTGCAAAGAAAATTCTCACATACCGGCTACCATTCTGTTGACCTTAGAGATGCCAATTGTGTGTTCAGTTTGATAATGCTCGAGCAGAATTCGTGATGGGGAAATTACCTGGGTTTAAATTGTTCCCTCTGTAAAGTTATGGCCTTTCTGCTGGTGCAGATCTGTTACTACTTGCCCTTTTATAGCCTGAGATTTGCTCATCGTTCTTCTCCACCAGAAGAAACGTTCATGTTTCACAGATTGCTTAGAGTCTCCCGAAGAAGGCATCCAGCCACTTCTTCTCTGTTAACTGTACCTGGAGTTTGCTTTTAAATCCTGTCCCTGTTTAACAGAAGCTTTCTAAAAGATCCTGGGATCTGGGTTGTAACTCGAGTTGCCCTCCCCTTCTGTGGGCCGCGTGTTACGGTCTCCTTAGAGGAAGGTTAAAACACATCAGCTGCTGCTTTCATTTTTAACTACAGAAGTGCCCCAGCTTCTCCTAATCACTCTGGAGTGTTGTCTGCACACTCCAGTGGCGTCCAGACCCCCGAGAGCCTGTCCAGGGAGGGGTCTCCCGTCCCGATGGAACCTGAGCCCAGCACTATCCAGCCAAAACTCGCCGTCATACAAGAAGCGCGATTTGCACAGAGTGCCCCAGGTGAGGAGCCCTGGGCTGGGGCAGGGAGGGGGCTCATGCAGAAACAGTGCCAAGACTTCACCAAAAAAGGATATATATTTAACCTCTTAACCTTCAGAGCAAATCTGTGAGAAACTCAGAAACAGGGAGACTCTGTTTGCAGGGGGCTGCTCCAGCACCCTGGATCACATTGCCAGGGAGAGGCTGTGCCTCTGTCCTGTGTAGGACTGTGCTGTCTTGTAACAGTTGTCATTTGCTTTCAAAGTGTATTCTCTCTAATTAAGAAAAAAAAAAAGAAAATAGAAGGTTACATGTGTTACAGAAATAAGGAAATGCCTTTCACAGCTCTGTGATCATCTCATCCTTTCAAAGCGGGGGATAAAAGAATTGGAAGGGTCAAGAGAGAGAAGAAATTTCCTATTTAAAACAAAAGGGCATAAGGCATGATGGGATAAGGATGTGTTTGTTTAATTACCTTAGTTTATATATGTTTCCATCCATTTTCTTGGTGATGTTGTGGCACTACAGAAGTGCCAGTGATCCTTCAGTGGTGAGGACAAACATGGTCCTGAACAGAGACACCGGGATCTCCCAGCCTAAGGATGTGGAGAGTGTTGCTGATGCAGACGTGCTCCACACACCACCTGAAGCATGTACATGTTCCCATCTGTGGAGAGGGGATTTTCTTTGTCAGTGTAGCTGCCCTGGGGGAGGGCTGGGGCGTGCCCAAGTGGAGTGTGGGTTTTACTGAGCCAGGACAGCCGTTACCCCGGGTCTGTGGCTGGGAATAACCACGTGTCATAGTCTTCATTGTCCAGTGTTACCTTTTGGATCGTTAGTGAAGGAGGTAGTTAAACCTCTGAGGCTTTAGTGTTAAGTTTAAAAGAATGATAGGTTTAAGAGAAATAATTAAAATTGGCAGCCTAATTTTGATCTCTCTCTTGCAGGATCACCTCTCTCTAGCCAACCAGTTTTAATTACTGTACAACGGCAGCTACCACAAACTATTAAACCCGTCACCTACACTGTTGCAACTCCTGTGACAACATCAACATCCCAGCAGCCTGTAGTTCAGACAGTTCATGTTGTCCACCAGATCCCAGCTGTGTCAGTCACCAACGTGACTGGATTAGCACCAGCAAACACTTACACTGTCGCGGGACAGGCCGTCGTCACGCAAGCGGCGATGGTCACCCAGCCCAAGGTAGAACCTCAAGAGAATGGAGACCACAAGGAAGTCAAAGGTGAGAGCCTGGGGGTTGTTTTGGGACCTCTTTATGCAGAGGGATCAGTATTTGAAACTTGAAGTCATAGAATCATAGGGTGGTTTGGGTTGGAAGGGACTTTTAACATCGTCTCGTTCCAACCCCCTGCCATGGGCAGGAATGCAGCCCATTAGACCAGGTTGCTCCAAGCCCCATCCAGCCTGGCCTTGAACACTTCCAGGGCTGGGGCATCGATACTTCCAGATGAAATGTTTGGCTAAAACTGAAGATTTTGTATCATCATTTCTCAGGATGAAGCAAGTAATAAAACGATAGATGCACTTTCCCACTGAGGGTTGATTGAGTGAAACCAGGAGGTTCTTTACCACTTCCTTGGTTTTAACCGTGTTTTATCCCCTGTTTTGCAGTGAAAGTGGAGCCTCTCCCTGCTATTAGCCATGCTGCAATAGGAGCTGCTAGTCGGATCATCCAGACATCTCAGCCCACCCCCCTACAGACAGTCACCATCGTGCAACAGGCGCCCCTGGGGCAGCATCAGCTGCCCATAAAAACTGTAACGCAGAACGGAACGCACATAGTGCCCATCACCACGGCCCTGCCGGGGCAGGGCACTGCTGGTACGTATGGCAGGGCTGTGCTTTGGCCAGGGAAACCTCACAGCACCACTGCTGCCTTCTCAGCTCTGTCCTTGTGTTGTTCGTAGTTAGACTGAAGAGTAAGTGCCAACAGAAGCTGTAGCTCACAGCCCTGCAAGGGGCTCTTCCTTCCCTGTTGGTAAGAAGGGGTTTCTCCTCACTGAGCATCACCTGAACATCATCTTACTCTCTTTGTGGTCATTATAGGGATGTTCTAAGTGGTGACAACGTGTCCTCCCTCCTAATTAAGCCTGGATAGGACACCTTCCACCATCCCAGGTTGCTCCGAGCCCCGCCCAACCTGGCCTTGGACACTTCCAGGGATGGAGCAGCCACAGCTTCTCTGGGCAACCTGTGCCAGGGCCTCCCCACCCTCACAGGGTTCTTCCTAACATCTAATCTCACCCTGCTCTCTGTCAGTGAGGCCATTCCCCCTTGTCCTGTCACTGCCTGCTCCTGTAAATAATCTCTCTCATCCACAGGCCTGTGGCACCCCCGTCCTGATCCCTTTTCCTGTGAAGCCTCAGTGACTTCAGTGCTGTCATTACTGATTTACCCAGAGAGAAACAAGTTTTAAAAGAAGTTCCTGTAAAAGCCATTCAAATGGTATCTGATCCCAGGTGGTTGGTTGGGAACCCAGCAACAAGAAAACCAGAACTTGGCTTTTTAAACTGTTACTTTTTATTCTGATTTTATTGAATCTGTACTAAAAATGACCAAAATTCTGAAAGATTTTGAGATGATTGTTATCTGAATCCCCTTGTTCCCCTCTGGAACTGGGCAGGCTGTGCTTTGTCATCATTCCATACATTCCATACATTCCCACTTGCTTTGCTTTGCAGGTGCACACAGCTGGTTCTTACAGTTTTGCTTTGAATGTTACCTGATACTGAAGGAGGTTTTGTGTCATAAAATATGTTTACAGAAATATTTTAGGGCTATTTTATATCAATTTCTTGCCTGCATTTCTGCCCTTAAGTCTTTCTAATGGAGTGAACTATCTGCTTAGTTCTTTTTTACTCCTCTGACATTTATAGGTCAAGTGTTGTGGCTGCTGCCACTTCACTTCCAGCTTAAGAGCAGCAAAGGCAATCACAGTCAGACCTGAGGTGCACTTTGTGTGTCAGAAGGGATGTGTGAATTGAGCTGAGAGCCCTGTGAAATACACTGAAAAGTTATTTTTGAATGTAAGAAATAAGTCCTTTTGTCTCTTTCCTGGATTCTTAAAACTCAGCTGATTTCAACGTGTTCCCTGACAGGGCAGCTGCTGGGTGTGTGTAGGGAGTGTGGCTGCACGTAGGAGTAGAGTTGTGGTGTTTCCCACTGTGTCACTTGTGTGACAGGGTGGGAGATTCCTGGGCTTTAAATACCTCCTGAGGTGTTCACAATGTGAACAGCAAGTGAGGAGTACTCCAGGTCCTGGTCTCTCTGTTACAGTTACTCCTGAACCAGCAAGAAAGCAGGTAATTCTCAGGCAAAGCATCTAAAGGGGGAACTGGGCCCACAGAAACAGGTTTGTTTGTGTGTGTCTGTGTTAGCACGGGCACATCTGTGTTTATACACACATTTGTGTGTGTTTGTCCTTGGAGAAAGAAGGTTTGTACCATGTGAAAGCAAAGAAATCCAGAGCAAGTCCCGTTCCATTTTCCAGGTGTAGTAAGCAGGTGCTGTGAGATCCTGCTCTCAGCAGAGCAGCTTGGCAGCACTGCCTGGTCCCTGTGAGTCAGCTGAACACTCTGAGGTCCAAAAGAAACTCAGGCTTCTTATTGCACAGTAAAATTTTGTAACTGGATATTCTGTGTTTCAGCTTTCAGTGTAGATTTCAGACAGCATCATTCTTTTGTGTTTCCTACTCCCACATATCAGCTGTGGCTCTACCCAGTGGGTCTCTTGCTACTCACCAGACCCTGGAGTGAATAATCACAGAATCACAGGGTGCTTTGGGTTGGGAGGGACCTTAAATCTCATCTCATTCCACCTCCCAGCCATGGGCAGGGACACCTTCCACTGCAAGAACAGGATAATGCAGTGACAGTCTTAATGTGTGTTTGAAGGTGAGAGGTGAACTTCTTGATTTTATTTAAGCAACAATAAATTTGCAGGAAGGCATTTTATTCAGGAGTTACATCTCCATGGCCCCTATTCAGAAATGGTACAAGGAGTAGCTTTTCTAATGGGAGCTGAATGACTGCTGAGATACAAGAGCAAATTGATTTACAGCTTGGTACATGCAGAGGTGATAGTCCAGGTATTCTCTAGGATGGCTTGCTATGAACAAATTACAAGTTTAGCACATAATAATTTCTCACGGACTGGATGTTTCAGCTCCACTAGCAGGGAATGCTGGGATAATGTCAGTGAAGTGCTGAGAGGAGGGAGCAGGAAAAACACAGGTGGTTTCGTAATGTCTAGATAAAGTTTCCTGAAATGCAAGGAATGAGTAATTAGTGTTTTGCATTCTTTGCAAAGACACTGAATGGCTGATTTAATAATATTAATAATACTGAGGAAGGTGCTGATCACGGGCAGAGGGAGGAACCTCTGGGTGTCTGAAGGATTAAAGGCCTGGACTCGCCCATTAGTGGTGCCCTGTGCTGTCTCATCCATGGAGGGAAATTAAAATCTAGTATAGGATATTTAAACTGTATTTTTCTGTCAATCTAATGCTGTTGTGGATCTGAATCTAATCATGTGTGTCCAGTACCACTGGTGCTTGTTCCAGCCCTGCCCTTATGCTGTGGGCAAATGCCTCGTTACCCCTCCCAGGGGAATTGCTGCATGTGTCACGTGCATCTCCTGGCTCTGAATTCCAGAGGTTCCTGCAGTGACTTACAGCCCCAGCTGGGTCTGGCACGCTGCTGTTCTCCTTCCAGGCCATGTCACACATCTGCAGTGATCAGAGACATGGCCAGAACCTACCAAAGGGTTTGTGAATCCACTTCCCAGTTCTGTCACAAGTTATGGTATTGATTTGCTTCCAGTCATTGAATCTTTCCCTGTCTTCAGGTCTCCAGTGACTAAATGAAGCTGCTTCCCTGTTCTCCCACCTGTGTCCAAATCAGTGTGAATGTTGAGTGGGGAAAATGTCCTTCAGGTTGTGCAGATTGAACAATCACCCCCAAAAACCTCACCTGGGCTCCACGTGGAGCCAGTAAAGGAACTGACCATTTAATGACAGTGCAGGTTTGCTGCCATACCCTCTGACTCGACAAGGATGGGGGTGCTGAGGTCTTTATTCCCTCTTTTCCAGCTGCTGCGAGTCCTTTGCATATGTTGGCCACCCACGCGTCCGCATCGGCGTCGCTGCCCACCAAGCGCCAGAACGGAGACCAGTCGGAACAGCAGGAACTCAAACGGATCAAAACAGAGGATGGAGAGAGCATAGTCATAGCTGTGAACGTGGACACCCCACCCGTGGCAGTGAGTGACAAAGGCAGTCAGAACTAGAAACTTAGGGGAGTTTTCTTTTTTTTTTTTCTTTTTTTTTTTTTTTTAAAAAAAAAAAAAAAAAAAAAAAAAACAAACGCAAACTCCGTGGTGCCAAAAGGAGACACTTAAATCTTAACACCTAAAACGTTGGAACATGTTCTCACGCAGTGGGGAAAGGGGCCCTGTGATCAGACTTCAACTTTCAGCACTGAAACAAAACCCAAACACAGGTGGCCTTAAAACTTGGTAATTTAAAAGTCAAAACTGCAGAACCGTGTTGTTGTAGAGGCTGTTCCCCCTCTGCTCCTGCCCCACCGGACTGTGTGTGCTGGGGGGGGCTGCAGCTTTAACAGGACCTGTCAGATGATTTCCAGGACTGAGGATCTCAGTGTAACGGCAGCATGATAGCGCTTAGTGTGACTGGTTTAACGATTGTATATTCCTAAAGGGAACAGAGGCAGGAGCCATTCCGACACCGTGGCAGCTACGCCTTTCCGAACCACCCACCCATGCAGTTGTTGGTAGATAATGCAGTATTTTGTTGTTCACATGTGGAATTAGAAAATTTTTGAGGTGTATTTTCATTTCTTTGCAAAACGATGGGGTCTTTGACATTTCAAATCACTCCATTTCTACTCCGGAAACTTTGGAATCACAACAAATACTTTTCATGTGAAATTTTGTTTGGTAAAAAACTGAATGTAGGGTTTTTTTAACCGACGGAATGATTTACTTTTGTCTGTCCTGTTCAAGTTCAGATAAAGCTACTTTATTACATCTGCAAATTTTCATATTTTAGCAGTTGCCTGATAAATTTAATCAAATTTTATTACCATGTGTAGTGATCAAACGCTTCTTTGGGCTTGCATGTAACTGATTAGAAACTCTGATGTAAATGAGCCGTTAACTGACGTAAAGAACTGCTATGGATTTGACCAGAGCTGCACTTACCTGTTTCTCTCTCTGCTACCTTTTGCTGTTTGTTACTTTGTGTTGACTTTGACTGTCCCTGGCATATTTTTCCAGTCTAAAGTAAAACAAGAGTCTCGCTTAATATTGTGTATGTTTAAGATAACAGACTGTTCTTCATTTAGAAAGAGGAAATTCTTTATCACGAGTCCTTTTAAAAAGAGTAAAATTATCTTGTCAGAGGTATATTCGATATTTTTAAGCTTAAGCACCCTTGAGTAGAAATTAATCTGCCCCATTTTCTCTGTAACACTTCGATGTCAGACACTGACCTCCGGGGTCTCCATGACCAGTAGCTGTTGTGGTTTTCTAACAGTGGCTACCAGATTATGGTAATAATAATAATAATAATTATTATTTTTTTTTTTAAGTGTGTGTTCTGCAGTTGAACATTTTAAAATGTATCGGTAATTTCTCACTTTAATGTGGTAATAGATTCCACTTTACATTTCAAAATTCAATTGAAACAAGGCTGCTGTTCAGTCTTCAACTCACACAACGTCTTAGTTCCTCCTGCAGCCAGGTGAGTGGAAGCGTTGGCTTCGTGGGAATCTGGTTTTTTGTCCTGTTCTGTAATAAAGATGCATTATTTATATTTCCTTTCCCGCTGTGAAAGGAAAAACTGTATTTTCACAATGGACTGAACAGTTTGGAGTGGTTATTTTAGGCAGCTTTTGGAAACTATTTACCTAAAGACCAAATATGAGAAATCTGTACAAGTTTTGTGTTCATCCACACAATGGAACTGTTACAATGTCTCTGCAGATAATACATATTAAAAAACTATGAAAAAAAAAAACTCTACACAAGCTGGATTTATAACAGGCATTTAAAAAAAAAAAAGCATAACCTGAAAAGAAGCATTTCTGTACAATTGCAACGTTTTCTTTAGAGGTTTTAAAAATAAAAAAAAAAAAGTAAAGTTTTAACATACTTTTTTTAAGAAAAAAAATCCAGTACTAGTAATTTAATTTGGTGTTGAATGAATTGACTAGAATGTGGTTTATTTTCAGAAGTGAGAATCTGTTCACAACTAGGGCTAGGTGAATAATAGTGTATAAGATTTTTTAAATAAAATTAAATTTTATTCAGCAAATTAACCAAGTTGAAATTACTCAACAAGTGTGTTTGAAATACTGATGTATATTTTGGGGTGGCTAATGCAGTTTCTGCTGGCAGTGCCACAGGACAGTGTCAGACCCAACAAGCCAAGGTGTCCCTTCCTGCCACTGTGTCCTGGGAGCCGAGGGCATGGATGGGTCTGGGACTGGCCCCTGCCAGGGCTTCACACTTTGGTGCACATGGAATTGGACACAGGAATGTGTCTGTGTTGAGATGGATCATTATTTCTGTAAAGAAGTGTAAGGAGATGGCACTTTGTGGAATCACTGTCGTGAACACGGGCTTGGTTTCTGATCCCCTTTTTCTGTTACATTCCCTTTGTTTCTCATCAGAGTTGGGGAAATGCTTTTGACCAACAACCAGGAAAGCTCTACTGGTCAGGTTTTCATGTCAGTGCTTTCAGGAGCTGGGGAGAAACCAAAGGAGGGCTGTGGAGCTGCTGGGAAGGGCTGGGGCGTTAGGGGCAGAAAGGGCAGAACCTGCTCCTGTAACAGAAGGAAGGGTCTGGATGGGCTGTGGTGGGAAATTCCCCCTGATCTCCTGCTGACCAGAGCAGAATCATTGGCTTGTTTGGGGAAAAAGAAAAAAAAAATAAATGCTTAAGCTGTAGGCAGTGCAGTGTTGTGATTGTTACTGTGCCATGGAGGAAGGGGAGCAGCGGGGACCCGGCCTGGCATTCCGGGGTGTGTGACACTCCAGGGCTGTTGTGTCCTGCACAGCCCCTGTCTGCAGGAACTGCTCGTGCCTCACGTGTGCCAACTGTACTGATTAATCTTGTGTTTTCTGCTTCAGTGTGGATACCCAAAGGTTCTGAGAGAAATCTTCATGTTCCTTGGTTTCTGCTGGCAAACACCTGGAATTGCCATAGAATTTGTTGCAGTGGCTCGTTGTTTAGTTTTCCTGTCAGGATTTTGAACTGTGACACAGATGCTGCAGAAGGAGACAGCAAAACAGGGAGAGAAGGAAAAGAAGTGGATAATCCATGTACTTACACAGCAGATGCTGGTGGGAATACTTTGTTTCAGGAACAGTTGTGTTTAGACTTACTGTGCAAATCCTGCCGTGTCTTCGTGGCTGGGGGTGATCCCAGCCTGCAGCACTGTGGCCATGTGTGCCATCAATCAATCAGTGGGCTGTAATCCTGAAAGTACTGTTTATTTTCCAGAAAAATGACTGACTAAACACTGTTCATTTGATTGTAGAGCTGTGCAAATGCTGGTTAAATTCACCCACGGGACGCGGGGCAGCAGCGAGCGATGTCATGAAGTCCTGGCAGAGCAACCTGGAGCCAAAGCCAGGTGGGAAGACTCATTCCTTTGCTGGATTTGGATCCCTGCAGAACAGCCTGTGTACTGAATGATACAGATTTGCAGGTAGTACCAGAAGGAGGAGTTTGAGGTCAAGTCCGTTTGGTATTAGGGGATTCCATGCTCAGTGCAGCACTGCTGGCTGCCCACACAGGTGTGTTGTTGTCATTCCTGCTGCCACATGGGAGCAGATGTTTAGAGGAAGTTTTACAAATTCAGCAGAGTTTAAATCTCCCAAGAAACACCTCATAGTCTCCTGTCAGCTCCAGGATAACTGGGATGGGAGGGCAGGGGGATGGTGCTCCAGCAGCTGAGGATGTGCAGAGCCTGCAGAGCAGTGCAGGAGCCTGGATGGTGGAGTTCAAGAGTTTTCTTGCTCTTCAAAGTGAGTCCCACTGGTGGGATCATGAGCAGCTCCTGCCTGCTCCAGGGAGAGGGGATTTCCATCACACTTGGAGAATGGTCTCCAGCCCTTCCCACGCATCCTTCTCTGGGGAGATGACAGTTGCACTTAGTCCTGCTGATAGAGCTGTTACAAGGTGAGGAGCCTCAGCCCAGCAGCTGTGGTGAGTGATTAAGTGCTGAACAGGAACAGGTTTGGACTTATTTTGGGAAAAACATCAAGGTATGTGCCCCAGGCAGTGGTTCAAGTGCTCCTGTCCCCTCTCACACAGCGGGTTCAGCTCCTGTCCTTCACCAGCCACCACTCCTGACTCACAGAGGTGTTTATTCCCCCAAACCTAGAGCAATGGAAGTCTTGGCTGTGACCATCAGTGAATACAGCAAAGTTAGTCACTTTTATTTAAAAGAAATAACATATTACAAATAAGTGTGCAAAACAATTCCTGTGGTTAAATACACATAAAAGCAACATGCAACCTTGACATCAACATGGTAAGTTAGTCCTTAGTAGGTTACGTGACACTAAAAGGGACTTGTCAGAGTTTGCAGCTAAACAATCTGGGAGTGAACTGGCGTGTCAGGGCTGAAGCATCTGTGAAATTGAGAGTCCAGAAGAGCTGGACCTCCCTGCCCCAGGGTTTAGTGCCAGAGAGGTCAAGCTCGGAGCTAATCTTGTGTTCTGGGTTAGGAGCTTGTGCCTTAAGTCAGCAGGAAACAGGGTAACAGTTGTTGGGGAAGTGTACAGGTGAGTGGGTTCAGTCTAACCTACCTGTCCTGGGCCAGCAGCTTTAGGATGCGACAGCTCAAAGAAAAAAAGACAAGTTTGCAAGTTCAAAGCCGTTGCAGACGTGGATTCCTGGCAGCTCCCTCAGTCCTGTGCTGGACGTGTACAGGGCCAGTCCCTGCAGGCTCTGGCAGCAGTTTGGCAGCACAGCTGGCACACCAGTACCCAGTGGGATTTACACCTGGAACAGCTGACTGGGAACAGGAGGACTCACCTCTACAGCTGCAGGGGCCCTGGGTGTTTGCTGTGCACACCCAGGGGGTTGGGTCGGCTGCCTCGAGGTGCCTCCACTGCTCTGGAGTTTGGCACCTTGGGCAGTTCGTGCTGATCCCTGCCCTGCACAGGCAGGGCCCCACCGCTGCCCCCACCCAGCCCCCTGCACAGGGCAGGGGACAAGCAGAGCTCGAGCTGCAAGTGTCCCCTGTCACCTCTCTGCTCCTGGCCGGGCTGGCAGAGGGAGCATCACCCAGAGCGTTCCCCCCTCCCAGCCATGCAGTGGAAGTAAAGCAATGCCTGAAATCTTCTGGTTTCACATCCCTTCTCCTCAGGCCAGCCCCGGGGGTGGGCAGCCCCACAGAGCTGCCTGGGTGGCAGGCACGGTGTTGGAGCCAAAGTCATGTCACAGTTTGGAGTAAGAGAAACCCAGTAGGCACAAGCTTGTCGAAAGCCACATCTTGAAAACTTGAGTTGGTGACAGTAACCCAAAGAGATTTTAATGATGAATACTTGCAGAAATGAGAACAAACATATGTAGTCCACTACTTCAGAGCTGCTTGTGATCATGTTGGGCCAGGCTTCTCCGTGAGCTCTGCTGAACTTCTGGATCAGAACTGGACATTTGGAACTGTCCCTCAGAGGTGTGGAGTGGCCGAGGCAGGGCTGTGACTCGTGCACTCCCCTCCACCCAGTCAAAGCTTCTCATCTGTCATTTCTAGGAACTGAGCGTACACATCCCTTGAGCATTCCCCTTTTTGGTTGAATAAGAACTTGTAGTAGCTGCCATCTGCACATATTGCTGCAACACAAACAAGCAGAGTCAGCTGGGCGGTGCCTTTCTGTTCTTCAGCTACAGCACAACCCTCCCTTCGGGCTCACAGAGCACCCAGAGATGCTCTGGAGAGACCTGAGGGCCACCAGCCCTGGTCTGCACAAGCTGTGCCAGCCTTGTGCCTCCTTCCCTGGGCAGTGGGAGCAGCCAGAGCTGACAGGGACACTCAGCAGAGGGTTCCCTCCAGCTCTAAACCAGTGTAGTTCAAACCCTGGCTCTCCAGCCAGAACCTGGGGACTCCTCCATCACTCACCTATGACAGCATTTGGCTCTGTTCCAAAGGCACAAATGCACGGAGAGCCTGAGGGAACCTGGAATTTGGAAAAGCTCCATTTGGAACTGAAGTATTTGGGGAGAAAAGTGGCAGAGGCCAAACTGAAAGAGAGAAAAAAAAATAACAGCTTAGTATGGTGTTGAGTAGAGTGGATTCAGAACTGCTGGAGTGACTGAACAAGATAAAAGGCTCACACTATTTTTGACTGGCTTTTTATGATCTTTTACTAAGTACCAGGTAACCTGGACAATTCCCCTTCTTGGCAAGGGGGACCCTACAACTACCTTTACGTTTTTAAGTGACTGGAAAAACTGCCAAAAGATTGATTTTTAGTAGAGGGATGTGTCCACAAGGTATGTTCATGCTGAGATCCACTAAAACCCACCCTGACCCTCCTGCTGGAATTCTGCAGCTCCACAAGGGACAGCAGGAACTTGGCAGTTTAACTACAGAGCCCTAAATCTGCAGCTTCACTCCAGCCCAGCAGATCAATCTTGCTGCCTCCAGCAGTGCAGGGATTTGCTACTGAGTGACACAACCAGAGTTTTAAATGCCATTAAAAGCTCAAGGACACCCCCCTGGCTTCAGAAAGGCTCAATCCCTACCTTGACTGCTTATTTCTTTTAGGGTCTTCTGCAGCAAAGATGTGGACTGTGCCGTGGTCGCTGGAGACGCAGATGAGGGAAGCATCCTGATTGAAGTTAATACTGCAGAGAACACAGAATACTGCAGGATCCCTCCTGGGACAGACCCACAGCACACACAGTTCTGCTGCTGCAGTTGCCCACAGCAGCTGCCAGCCCGCTCTGGGGTGGGAACAGCTCCTCTCTGTAAGAGCTGGGGCTCCCCTGATCCAGGGCTGCCTTGGGATGAACAGCCCAAATCCCTCAATCCAGGGCTGCCTTGGGATGAACAGCCTGCACTCGTAACAGGGTCTGGAGTGGCAGGAGCAGCAGGACTCCCTGACATGGACACCATGGGTGTGGGCCACTCTGACACTTCTGGAAGAAAAGGAGCTCTGCTCCAAGGAGTGGGCAAAATGTGTAACATTCCTACCCCAGATGGGGCTTGGAAGAGGAGGGGGAGTTTCCAGGCTCCTGGCAGAGTCACACCTCTGTCCTGGGCACTCCCCTCACAGCAGGATGTGGTGCTGAAGCCCCACCCTGCCCCAAGCTCTCCAGTCCCTGGGCAGTGTTCAAATGCATCAGGGCCCTCCCAGTGTCTGTGTAAGTTCAGCATCCCCAGCTCCCACCTGTGCTGGGCAGGGGCACAGCCTGGCACCACACAGGCTGCTGTCCCAGCCCCTGCTCCCTGTGCCAGGCTCCACACACCTCCCAGCTCCCTCCCCTCCCCAGCAGTGAGCCCAGAGCAGCCCTGGGCCCTGTGAGGGCTCTGTGTGCCCAGGAAGCACATCTGTGCTCAGCACAGCACCTGAACATCCCAGTACATTGGACATCCCAGTGCATTGGACATCCCAGTACATTGGACATCCCAGTACATTGGACATACCAGTATATATTGGCTGCCTGTGATCCTCGACGTAGCTCCTGGATTAAATGCCCTGACGAAGTATCAAATATCCTTATAAGGGTCCCCTTGAAAAGGAATCAAGCCTTGTATTAGGAAAGGCAGAAGACTCTCTTTACATCTGTGAATGCAGCCTAAAACTCTGTCTGTCTGACCAGTATGTCCCTGCACACACCTCTGGGGGTTTTCTTCTTGCTAGATTTGAGAACCTGTTTTAATTTTGGGGAAGAACATTGACTGCCCCCACACCAGCCCCACAGTGTTACAGTGCTGTGGTGCACAACCTTGTCACTTGGCTCCTCAACTCAAGTTTCTTTCAGCTCTTTTCTAAAGCACCAGCACAGCCCTGGCCCTGGTTGGCAGACCCTGGAGTGTGCCCAGGCTCTGGGAGTCACTTCTGCCTTGCTCCCTCAGTCAGTGCTGCCATTTTCAGTGCTACTGTGCAATTCTTTCCCACAAATTATAATCAGGGTGTGGCTGACTTGTCTTAGAATTAATTCAGAGGCTGTCCATCATCACCTGCAGTCCTGTTACACGCCTGGTTAACAGGTGCAGCTCTCCAGTCACACACCAGGAGGTAACAGAACCCAGCAGAGAAAGATTTGGTAAACTCAGCTTAGTTTTGATTTAAGAGGCAGGCTTGGGATGTTTGCTGACTGTGCTCAGACTCCCTAGTTTGGTTGGAAAATAAAAGCGGTTTGAACTTTTTCTCTGTACAAAACAAGGAACATCCTGATACAAATGCAGCAGATAATGAGTCTACTCAGCAATGGAGTTGGCAGCTTGAAGAACTCTGTTTAGAAGACATGCAGCCATTAAGCTTAGTTAGGAGAGACTGTGGCTGCATTTTCTTTTTTTAAGCTGTTTGAGTGACAGCCTGGGCAGTAGAAACTGTTCAAAGGAGAGACTTGTTGAATTCATTTGGCTTTTCCTTGAGAAACTCCTTTCATTTGAGTGGAAGAAGGCAACGAGTGCTCCTCTTGCCTCAGGGAGATGGGTCCATCTGCCTGACATTCCTCTGGGAGATGAAGGGCCCTGGCAGCCCTCCCAGGGGTTCCCAGGGAGAGGGCAGGTCTGTCATCATTTGAGCTGCACCCTAACCTGAGGGTTTTGTCAGTGTGTTGTGCTCTTTAGTCCCACAGGGGTGCACACACCATTTCAGAAGGAGGGGGCAGCCACCCCCTCCTGCTCTGCACCAGGGGCTAAGCCCTGGCAGAACAAAGCCCTCTGGCAGGACAGACCTGTCTGCAAGCATTTCTCTAGCCAGTGGGTGTGAAGTGAGTTTAAGCAGAAAATAATAAAGGTGAAAGAATACAAATAAGATTCTCCCCCTGCTTTTTAAAAAAATTAACAGTATCTGTTGAAGAACACATGAAAGCTGTGAGCTGCTTGGGCCAGGCTTCTGTCACTGAAGAGTCACTGCTCCAGTCAGCTAAAACATAAGCACTACCTCAGGCACAGCCCTTGGCTGTTGGTGTCTGGGGATCCCAGAGGGGCAGTGAAGATAAAGGGAATGCACATTCCAGTGACAAATTTCCCCGGTAGGTATTTCTCTGTCTTTCCTACGAAGGATGTGACTTCCTATTTGTGACACTGGAACACAGAGTAGGTCAGAGGCAGGGACATCACTCTTACTTTTTCTGATGCTGTTGCAATTCTTGTTCCCTGCAGGTTTAAAGCAATACAGCTCAAGACTCCTTCGTGGGCTGGGATGTCCACGGGAGGCTTCTCCGTGTTGGCCAAATCCACGATCTGCACGTGCCCAGTGTGTGTCCCAGGAAATGCAAGAAGAGAATTATTACTATTTGGACAAAGGACACAGAGACCTGAAAGACACACAAAAAAAAAAAGAAGAGAATAACTGGATCATTTCCATAAACCAACGTTTTCAAATGTAAGTTTCTAAAATACCAGTAATTTCACAATAAGCAAACAGACATGGAGCAAGTCAGAATCTCATCTGAATGGCTGGTGCAGGATCCCAAAACATGACCCATCCATGAGTGCAGAGCACAGCAAAGCAGGGGAGTAGCATAATTTAACTTGCTCCTATCACTTTATTTCAAAGTTATCTAGTTGAGGTTATCCAGAATCTGGGTGTTTTCAGAGATCAGCTCCATCAGCCCATCACAGCAAAGCCATTTAAAAAGAAGTTATTAAGTCTCCTTAGTGGCTCGGAAAGGGTAAGAGTTTATCAGAGGTGATATCTGAGTTTCTGCTCCATCCTGATGATTATTAATAATTCCTGTTTGAACTTGGTTCTTACAGCACTGGCACTTTTTCCTTTGTAATATTTTGTGGCCCATTTAAGGGAAATCACACCAATCCCACATGTCCTGCTGATGCCAAATGAATTCCTGCAACCTCAGCACAAGAAACAACCTCCTTCTCCTGTCACAGTCAGTCAGTCAGGGGGCTGGAGCTGCATTTCATGTTTGCTCCAGAGTCCCAAAGATGGGGACTCCAGTCCCAAATAACCTCCTGGCAGAGAAGAAACCTTCCTGATGTCCAAGTTGATCCTCCCCATCCATCGAGCACGGCCAGCAGCCCTTGTTGCATGGTGTGGCACTGTCAAAGTGTTTGCAATGATGCACTTTGTGTTTATAATTAAGCTTTCAGCACAAAATACATCCAGTTCCCATGTTCTTTACAGAAGGAAGTGTGTAGCTCTTACAGAAATCACATCTATAACATGAGTGCAGGAAACAGCTTTTCTGGGCCAAGTCTGTATAAATTCTAATAACCATTTTATAAACAAAAGCATCTCCAAAGGGCACAACTGCAGTGCAGTAAGTGTTTAATGACTTCTAAAGAACTGAGTGAGGCAGCTGAAGATAAATGGCACGTCAAGAACAGAATAAACTTGTTTCCATCCCCCAGCCCACATGTAGGACTAACCTTTAGGGTTGTAGCAGGTTTCAAAGACGTGCAGCTGGTGGGGATTGTGTGTGAACGTGAAAACTTTAATCATCGAGTCCAAGACGACCACAATTCTGAAACAGAGCAGAAGTTCCTGGGACTTGGGGTGGGTAAAACAGGGACACAGACGTTCATTCAGAACTGCAAAGGCTTTCAAGTGATTTAATAGCCATGTTCTTCCTGCCCTCCCCCGCAACAGACTCCCAGCCTTGCAAAAACCACACAAGGATAAGCCTGCAAAGTACTTTTATGCAGCCCCTCCGCCCACGCACACACAGGCTCCAGCTGTTCACAGCTGCTCCTGCTCCAGGGAGCTGCTGGAATTCCCTCCACACTCCTCCAGACTCAGAAAAGCAGCCAGCAGGAGCCACAGGAGAACATTTCCCTGCATTAGGGGGCTGGGAAGTCTCACAGGCTTTTCACCAAGGTTTCACATCCCAGTATACTCGGCCTGTGATCTGTTTACACCCAACACTTGCTCCAAAAGCCTGTTTTACCTGTAATTGCTGAGGCTACAGCAGGATCTTTTTCTTTCTACAAGCAGCTGGAAACAAGAGCACAAAGCCACCCTTAGCTTTTGGACCCCTCTGTTTCACCCACCTGTCCCTTCGCAGCTTCACTGCTTTGACTTCTGTAGAAAACTCGATCTCAATGACAGTCTTCTTCTTCAGGTCATCCCAGATCATGACTAGAACAGTGCAGAGGTTGTTAAACCATCAAGGCAGATCCAAAGATCCACACTGTCTCCCTGATAACAGCTTCCAGTTCCCCAGAAGGCTGATCAAGAGGGGCACCCCATGGCTAAGCAGCTGCAAACCTTGAGCCACCACATATCAACCCCCTCGAGCAGGCAGGAGCTGCAAACTCCAACCACAAAAACTGACAATAAAAATACAGCTTTCTAAAGAAAATCAGCTTTTTTTTTTTTGTTTGCTCTGAGGGTTATCAAAGAAATAATGCAGCAGTTGGAAAAAAGTAGCATATTTTCTTACAGATCCTTCCAGCCTGGGAGGTTCCCCCTCAGGCTGCTGGGATGGAGCCTCCTTGCAAAGCTCACCACGAGAAGGTCAGGGGGTCTCTGAGACCTGTCACTGCAGGTACCAGCCTGTTCCTGCTGCCACAGCAGTGGTGTGACTCCCTGCACCACGGTGACTTAAACCTGCTGCAACACCCCCTCACCCTTCAGGACACCCACTGCCAGCCCAGGGCAGTGGGTTTGGGAGCTCTGGGCAGTGTCACACAGGCCAAGGCAGATGTTTGCAGGGTCCCTCCCTGGAGCTCACCTTTGTTGGGTGGGTACTTCGGCTTCTTTCCTCCACCCACCAGTGCTAAATAGTTGCAACGAAACAACATTTCCACGTGGCCAACGCCACCTTCTACAAACTCTGGAAGACAAATATTTTATTTAGAAGCGTCAGAACCTGTTAAAAGGCCATCTAGTTTTCACCACTGTCACAAGAAAAGCTCCTATTATCCAGCACATCTCCCAGGCACCTGAGAAGAACAGCATCTTCCTACCCTGGCTGCCCTTCAAAAGCAGAGGAGGTAAATTCCATGAAAGTTCCTCACACTGGAGCAGTAAAGTCCTGGATTTCATATAAGCCCTTGTGGTTTCTTCAACAGCACTTCTGAGTGCTGTGTTTCCTTCCTGAAGAGTTTTGGACACTACCCCCTTCTGCACCACATCCTCCTCTTGACTTTGAAGCAGGATGGCACATTTTGCTATGAAAAGGGATTATCATCATGACAAAAAGGCCTAAAATATTTACAAGTGATAACCTGGGACAGTTTGAGAGCGTGCAATGTGTCCTGAATCTGTGTTAGAGCGCTGAATGATTATCTGCACAGTTCTGAGGGGCAGTGCTTGGATGGGAACATCGTGGAACTCCTGGATGTAGGGGGTTGCAACAGTTAAGACTTGGTTTCATGTTGGGTTACAGAGAACAATCAAATAGACAACTCCAGCTGGGACCATCTCAGGCAGGTTTAAATCTCCAGGAATGATGAACAGGATCTCTCTGTGTACCTACACAGCCAGTTCAGTGGGAGTGCTCAGAATCCAGAGGGAAAAAGCAGTCTGACTCATAAGAAACTTTTCACCACAGGAGTCCTGGAATTATCTCCATCCAGAGCTACTGGCAGGGAGAGTTTTGACAAGGCACTCCACAGGACTCCAGGCTGAGTCCTGATCCTTTGAGCACACTGTCACAGGTGACAGTCCCAAGGCATGTTGCTTATGGAAGAATTTACTGTTAAGAGCAGAAAACAGTTTTGGCCACGTGAACAGTGACTAAAATCCTTTACAGCAGTAGAAAGTGAAAGTGTGCCTGGTTTCATAGGAATTGCTTATTTAAGTACATTTTTCCTCTTATTAAATCCCTTTTATCACCACAAGCTGGAAGTGCTGGGAAACCTGTTTAGCAACTCACTTCTATATTTAGGGTTAGAATCACATGGCTGGGTTTCAGTTTCCCCTATTTTGACTTGGGTTTGTTTGCTTTCTGATAAAAAAGCCCCACTGTTAATACAGCTCATCTACTGATTTCTGTTCAAGCATGAGGGAGTAGCTTTACTGCATTAAGATCCTCCCAGATTTTTTAGGCATCCAGAGAAGGCAGGATGTAGAGTATTAGAGGTCTGAGCTCTCAGTGCTCTTGCAGACAATACCCTGGGTATGAGAAATGTTATGCTCAGATCTCCAGGAAAAGGGCTGGAGTTTTACTGCCACACTGGATCATCCAGATCACCACTGGAGAAAGGAACAACTTCTGATGGTGCATAACTGCTGCAGGGAGTGACTCCTGCTCAGGGATAACCAACTCCTCTCCTCCTCAGGGCTACAAACATCAGCAAGAGCCAACTCAACTCTGTTATAGGTGAGACAAATCCCTCGTCAGTCAGTTGTGCAAATTAACAGCACTGAGACATCTGACTGAGCAGTGGCACGAGTGAAAGGCCCTGTGGGGCAGGAGCTGCCCTTCCTGGGGCTTTATCCAAAGCCTTCCAGGGATGGAGCAGTGAAAGCTGAGCAAGAACCAGTCACAAAAAAAAAGGAGGAGGCTGAGCTTCCAACCAGAGCAGCACGGTGGAGTAAGTAAGTGCTTTACCTTGTTTCTCTTTTTCTTTGAGAGGATCTGCATTATAAACTCGGAATCCATTTTCCATTCCACATGCAAAGCATCCTGTGGTAAAAAGCACATATATATACACATATATATAGTAATTGCCAGATACACTCGAGAAGGAAGCAAGAGCCAGAGGGTTAGGAAAGCATTACTGACAACTGCATTGTTACACTCAAGCACTCACAGGCTCTGTTAGTGATGGCAAGTGAAAGCCCTTCAGAGGAGCTGTTCTCTGGCCTGGTGCAAAGGTCTCGGTATTGTTTTTAGACAGGTAAGAAAACAATGGAAGGAAAGGAAACCTATTCCCAACCCACCTGTATCCTATGCCATGTGCTACAGAGGGAAGGAAATCAGCATTTTAATGTTTATGGTCCAACAGTCGTTATGAAGGAAACCCCCTCCTTTCTCAACAGATCTGAATTCACCCCACAATTATGACTCTGCTGTGGATGCTTCCAGAGCACAGAGCTCCTCAAACAGCTTTTCAGACTGTGCCAATGCCAATAATGACATGCCAATAGCTGAAGTCCAACCCAGAACATGAGTAGAACACTGATTAAAACATTCCCAGATTAAAACAGTCTGGAAAATAATTGTAGTTACTTTTTCTTACAGAATTATGCATGTGCCTCTTCAGTGGAACCCATCAAACTACCAATCTCCTGTCCTGCCCTTCCCCTGCTAAGGGAATGCAGGTACTGGTACCAAGAAATGCCAGTGTGAAGTCAGAGCAATGACAAGTCACCAAGGAGCAGCTGCTGTCACTGGCAGCAGCCTGACAGCAGGTTGGTTGCTACAAAATTTGTGTGCAATGTATCAAAAATCCAGTTAAAGATCTTTGAGGTACTGAACAGATGTTCCAATTACTGTGGTTCTATTCTTATGCACTGCAATGATTAGAACCTCCCAAATAAAAACAGGAGCTCTGTCTAAACACACCCCTTCCCCAAACTTGATACCCCCAAAATCCCAGGGGTGTGTGGAGAAAGAAAACAAAATACACAAAAACCTACTCCCTCAACCCAAAAGATTCCCAGGTACAGCTTCACCCTGTCCAAGAGGTTGTAATAAATTAAGTGGTTAAAGTTCTTTACATACATAAACACACCCAGAGAGTGGCTAATGAGAATATAATAACTACAGCAAGATTAACAACCATATTGAAATAGGCTTTTCCCTGAGCCCTGCTCATTGCACCTCGTGCCCTCCCAGGTCTGCCCTGTCAGAGTGTGGTGCCCTGAACTCACAGCTCAACCAGCTGCTGCCCCGGGCAGGGCATTACTGGGATAACCAGGGAGCAAACAGCAATGGAGACCTTTCCCTCTGCATAAAGCAAAGCTGCACAGGAGCTGTTCCTGGCAGCTGAGCCACAGAATCATTTCCCAGCAGCAGTTTTCTAACCCCACGTTGTATTTCCAGGATAAGGGGAGGGTGCTGAAGCTGCTCTGTAGTAAGAGAGCACTGTAAGGCTGGAGTTGTGCTGATCCCAGCAGCTCCCAACCACCCAAAGGGAGCGTTCCTGATGCAATCACACCCAGACTTTACCCTTCCCGTAGCACCTCTACAGCTTCTGCAGGGCCAAGCTCATGACTAAGGCGTGGGCTGCTTTAGGGCCTTGGAAATGTCTCCATTTTTAACGGGAGACAACCCAGCAGCAGGTGGGGATGTGAGTAATGGTGAGATTCCATCCCTACCCACAGAGATGTGGAGCTCCCAGGCACGGAAACCCCTGAGTCAAACAGGAGAGAAAAACACACAGGAAGATCCCTGCTCCTCCTTCAATCCCAGGTTACAGGAGCAGCTTTGGAGCTCAGGGATTCCCATCTGATCTCAGTGTTACCAGTGGGATCACAAATTTGACAGCTGCAGCTTGTGAGCCCTTCTCAGTGAGAGAGCTGGAGGGGGCTGACAGAAGGCAACACTTCCTTAGGCTCACTGCCTTCCATGGATGATGACCTCCCACCTCAGGAAGGGACAGATGTGCTGGCCAAGTGCCACTGACAGAAGATAACTCAGATTTTTTTTTTTAAATGTCATTATTACAGAGTTATTGCCTCAACCTGCAGCTGTGCTCGTGCCAGCGAGGCCACAGTGAGTTTTGTTCCTCAAAATCCACAGAACAAAGAAGAGTTAAATTAATGCCCAGCCTGGAAGATGCCACAAGCTGAAGGCAGTACCTTGGCCCAGAGAAGCCCACAGGATTCAGCAGTGGCAGCAGTGGAGCCCAGGGAAGCGATGACAGCTGGCACAGCTCCTGCCATGGTGGTTTTTCTGGGCACAACAAATGTTGTCCAAAGCCACAAGAGAGAGCACAGAGCCCTACCAACATTGGGGGGTCCTACAGAGAAGCCTTCCAGCCCACTGGAGAGGAGCAAATGCATCAGCCACGTGTTTCAACATCAGAACAAACCCACCCTTCAGTTTTCAAACCAGCTTTTGGCTGCCACAGTGACAAAAGAGAAAAGTGTCAGCAAGTTACAGGTGCGCTGTCTGAGGTGGTCCCTTGTGATGATGTTTTGTCTGTTCATTTCTGAGAAGCACTTTAGTCCTCTGAAAGCATTGGAAAAGGGCCTGGAATCAGGAGCACACGGGCTGAGTATTCACACAACCGACAAGCCCTTCCACTTCCTTGTGTTACAGTTTCAATTGAAAACCCCAAAGTGGCAAAGGCACCCCACCTAAAAAGGGCATCACTCCAACAGAAGGGGGGAGGCTCATGGCAGAGCAACTTTCTCCCTGCTCTGTCAGGGAGGTTCAACCCCCGAGAGACTTCTCAGATGGTTCCTCCTGCTCTCCCATCCTTGTGGGATTGGCCAGTGTTAAATTGGTAAGGAATTAGGTTATTGTGACAATCCATGAGACACCCACAGAGTGAGCCCCAGCACTCCGGTGACTCATGTTCTATTCCCGGCAAGGAGAAGGAAGCAGGAGCTTTCCCTCCTCCCTGCTCTCCAAACATCACCTGCCCTAAACTAATAAAGTGTCAGTGTGACACCTGCAGTGCCAAGGTCGTCATTCCTACCAGGAACAGCTCCAGGAGCTGCCAAATGGAAGCTAAATGTGTTTTTAATTCAAGTTTTTTTTGTCCCTCAATTGCCTGGCCAGGGGAGGTTGGATGGGATGTGAACACTGCCAGCTCTCACATTCCCAAGACAAATTCCTCATGGTACTTGGGATGTGTCTATTCAGGAAAAAAAAAAAGGGGTTATTTTGCATTTACTGCTACAAAATTTTTGGAACCCTTTGCAACAATCAAGTTTTACACTAAAACAATGATCTAAAGGCATTTTTCTCTTACACAGCTCTCTGTATAACCCGGTTCCATCACAGCTCAAGCACCGAATATCACCACTCTGTTACAGACCCTGCAGATTTGAAATTCAGCTCATCCTCAACAATCTTTTTCCATCTCTGTTGCAAAGACAAGAGCTGCTGAAAATCGGGCTGTTCTGTTCTTTTCAAGTCAATGGAGGAGCATTTAGAGAGCTGCAAAGACACTAACACCTCATCACCAGCTTGATGTGCTCCTGCCAAGATGTGACCAGAGGTGTTTGACTAAAATCAACACAATAATTCGTGTTTACACTCGACTTCAACAGTGTCAGCAACAAGTAAAAGAGCTGCAGTCTATGGCAGAAGCTTCAAGACTGTCTTGGGCAAGAGTAATATTTGTTAAGGCAAAAGGATGTTACAAAATGATGAGCTTCTATTCCTTATTCCACCAAAATGACACGTACTCATCAGGCTGGTGCTATTTGTGTCTTGCAAAAGCAGAGATGAGGCACCTGCCACCCCTTTCTGGAGCAGGCCTTCCCTTTCCTAACACAGGGGAAAGGGATGCAGTGGGGATTTGCAGCAGAACATGCATCTGTGCTTGCCTGAGTGTGATTAGTAGTGTTAACCACGACTTTTAAAATGCAAAGCAAGCAAAAAGAAAGGAAAAATCGGTGACACCCCTGGCTTTGAATGTCAAGTACTCACACCGAGGAAAGGCCATTCTGAGTCACCTTTCAGAGATACAAGTCCCAAATAACCCCCGAGCTCAGGCTCCGACACTCGGGGGGCAGCCGAGCACAACCAGCCCCAACAATCCTGTCCTTGTGCTCTCCTCCACCCACCCACCCATCTCCGGGCGCTCACACGGCCGCGCCAGAGCCAAAACAACGGGACGACCATTAAATTCTCCGGCCTCCCCGGCTCCGTCCGCCGCTCCCGCCGCAGCCCCGGGGGGCGAGCGGGACCCGGCACCGACGAGCCCCGGTCCCCACGCGCTGCCGGGAGCCGCCCCGGCCCCAGCCCGGCCCCGGGCGGTCCCCGCAGCCGCCCGTGCCCGCAGCCCCGGCCCGGCCCCGCCTCACCGTGGTCCTGGTTGAAGCCGGCGTACAGCAGCCCGTTGCCGTGCGGGTTGGCCGGGAGCAGGTTCATGGCTCCGGCTCGGCCCCTTCGCCCTCGGCCGCCGCCCCTTACACCATGGCGGCGCCGCGGACCCGCCCGAACCGAGCTGGGCCGGGCCGAGCTGGGCCGAGTCCGAGTCCAGCCGAGCCGAGCCCGCCTGAGCCGGGCCCAGCCTCAGACCGGACACTGCTTCCGGCCCCGGCAGGCGGCGCTGCCGAGCGCCGAGCGCATCCACCCGCCCGCGGAGGAGCGCAGAGCAGTCGAGCGGCGCGGGAATGGCGGCGGGGACGGACCGGGAGTGACCGGGAGTGACCGGGACTGACCAGAGTGACCGAGAGTGACCGCTGCGTCAGAGGGGAGGATGGGTGGCCTAAGGCAGCCCCCGGGCCCCTCCCAGCTTTGGAGGACTCTTTGGTAGAAAACTCTCCCATCAAACGAGTGAAAGCAGAAGAATTGCAGTGGGAACGCGCTGAAATTGGGATGTCCTGACTTGACAAAACCTCAGACCCAACCAAACCCCAGAACCAACCACCAACGCCGCAGATACGCCTCGGAAACGTGGAAGTTCTCAGCACCCGAGGCCCTGAGCACTCCGGGTGGAGTTCAGGAGGAATTTTACTCCAAGCAAGACAATAGACCCGGTAGCCTGGGGAGGACCCTTCCACTCTGAGTTATTCCATGGCTGTAGGATGAGCTGAAGCGCAGCCTGGGCGTTCTCACCCCAACACCAGCCATTCCCCACCCCTCAGCTGTGTTCCCTCCTTCACGTGCTCCTTCTATGCCTTCCCCAGCAGTGCCTGACGTTGTATCTCAGTTTGTGACCAGCTCTGTTGGGAATTGACCTCAGCTCTCAGCCCTGGAGCTCTGCACTGACAAGCTGCGACAGTATTTTTTCTATATTTTTTCTATATATAAAATACAATAATGACACTGCATCTTTACAAGACTTCATCTCCTTAGGCAGCCAAGAGACTGGGTGTATGAACCAACAAGCCCCTCTTTGCTTTTTTTAAATGTTCTCCTGTCCAGCTGCAGCCCCAGGCTTTCCTTACTCCATGTGGGATTGCTGCAGGAGTTACCAGGAGTGAGCAGTGCTGCTCCAGCCTTTATACCTGGCTGGCAGGAGGGACAGACTCTGCCCTTGGGGACACACATATCCATAATGCTCCCTCCAGCCAGGAATTCTTCCTGCACATCACATACAGAGAGGGCCCAAACCACTGCCTGGTGACTGAGGAGGCCAAAATTATAATTTGGAAGAAATAAACTCGTGTAGCAGCGTGCAAGGGACAGAATTCCATCCTGCTCCCGGACACCAGGCAAACAGCCAGAGCGCTCCCAAAGTCTGGATGTCTCCGACTCAGGTGTAACCCCTGGGAGCTGCTCTGGGCATGTTCTTACTGTTTGGAGATGTAGTTTCAATATTCCAGCACAGGCAGCCCAGCAGGTGGAGCCTGCTGATCATCCAGGGATTGATCCCACGGGAATTCCTTCCAGCTGCACTTTGCTTTGCCGTTTAGGCCGTAACTGTGAGCACACTTGTTCTGATGGCACTTCTCTCTAAGTGCTGATGCATTAATTGCTCCAGGTCCTGGCATCACTTTGGCATTTTACTGGCTGGTCTTCCCACACTCACAGATTTGTGGTCCAGGAGAAACATCACAGACATGAAACTTGGTGGTATCTCAGCAGTGAAGACAACAATAGGAAACTGGGATGAAGCTGCTCCAAAGGATTGTTGTTCCTGAGGAGAAGGAGTCACACGATCCCTTCACACGTGGAACACTTGGTGTGAGTTATTCTAAAGAAAGGATTTGTTTTCCAGAAACATTCATTTATTTAATTTTTAAATAGTGTTCTTCAAATCTTGTTCCTTTTACCACACTGTCTTTAGCATTTTTCTCCTGGAACTTTCTTGTGGAGTGGTATAAAATGTAATTAATATGTTTTCTACAGAAAAATAAGTATTTAACCCACAATTCCCCAAAGTATTAAGTAACACACCTAAACCTTTATCAAGTTGATTACATACAGTAATAGGACAAAACCTTGCTGGGTATGTGCTCTGTACCTTGCTGGTATATGCAATGGCACAGAGAACTCCCCTCCCTTCCTCCAGTTTTTTCTGAGGAATCAGCACCATAAGTCAAGGTCAAGCCTTCCAGTGAATTAACTGGTCCCAGTCTGGCAGTAAATTAAAGCAACAGGTAATTTGACAAGATAATCTGCTTTCTACTATGACACATGATAGATTTGCATGAGGGGAAAAAAAAAAGTGAAACGAGAATATTCTAGGCAAACACGATGAAGAAATTGAAAAGAGGAGGATGGGAAAGAAAGGTAACTTAAATCCCCTTTTCCCAGATCCATTAGCTCAGTTCTAAATGTCTGCAATGTTCTGCAGGCAGAATACATTGGTATGGATGAGGCTCTTCAGTGTTGCCCTTTAAAAACATTGAGAATACATCACAAACATGAACCTTGAACTTAAAGGGCGAATATTCTGATGTTATGAACATGGCAGTGAAAGAAAGGGAGAAAAACATCTCCTTTTCTACTCTTTCAATGAGAGCAGTTTCACAACGAACACCTTTGCTGTTTAATGATCCTTCACTAGAACAGCATTTTTATTAGTATTTCCCTCTACTTACTGAGGACAACAGAAAAATAAACGCTTAGGAGGAGAAATCCTATCACCTTCATCAATACATTCTGTGTATTAAAACATTTTGCTTAAACTTGAGCTCCACAATCAGCGTGGCACACGAAATCACCTGCGTGGGGTTTTATACCTGGGTAATTCCTCCTCCTTTCTGAAAAGTCTGTGCAGCAAAGTCCAGCCCTTCTTGTGCCTTGGTACTGCCAGGGAGCCGCAGAAACCAGCAGGAACCGGCAGAAGCAGATGTTGTCATCTGTTGGTCTAATTCCTGATGCACTAATTTAGCAGTTGAGAACCTAAGAAGCACTTTTAATATGGTCTGGGTATTATAGATATATTTCTCTATATATATAAAATTCTGCTCTGGATGCTGCGAGTCCAGAGGGCCACAGGG